TTTTTGAATTTTATATCTTAGATTTAAGATGAATAAATAAATTAAGTTAATTAATAATTTATTTAAAATATTAAAATTTAATTTATAAAAATAATATTTTAAAAGAGAAAGGTTATAATAACACCTGTGTAACTTTTACTTACACCGCTAAATAATTTTATATTAAATGTGAATTTTATAAATTCAATCGTTAGATTGAAAATTTTTTACTCTTAGATTATATATACAAAATTTTATATTAATTCAAGATGATTTGATACTTCATTCTTGTAAAAAAAAATTGACGTAATATATATATTTCAAAATATACTAAAATATGAACACTTTGATTACCTTCAAGTTGTTCAATTTTAACAAAATTTGATATATAAACATATAAAGTGATATAAACTTTCAATCTAACGGTTGGATCTACAAAATTCACATTTAATATAAGATTATTAAGTGGTGTAATACTTAGTAAAAGTTACACCAGTGTTATTATATAATTATTATTAGTAATATAAAATTAATTAAATATTATATAATTATTATTAGTAATATAATTATTATATATTTATAACGGTTTGGACACACCGGAATGAGAGGGATTCAAAGATAGTATAAGTATGAGATTGTATAGTTGAGAATGACTTAAATGAATTAATTTGTACTATTTATACCAACATGTATCTGCTTTACTGTAACTTATCTCATCAGAACTCCACAGTTAAGTATGCTTGATTTGGAATTATACAGTGACTTGGAGTGATACATGGATGAGTGGCCTTCTGGGAAGTTTCCCAGAAACTGTGTAAGTAAGGAGAAAAATGTTAAAAAGTGAAGTATTGTGAAATAGAATCCTTGAGAAGAATAGAAATCAAATTTGAGACGTCTAAAAAATTTAATAAAATAAAAAATAAATATTTAACGACTGATTTATAGGCAGTTAATGCGACGGATGTTATAAGAGTCGCAATTCTAATTTTCCGACGGTTTGTGCAATGATTCCAGTAACTGTCGCAAAATTCACTCATGACGGATATTTCTGCAACAGTTGATGAACCGTCACAATAGTATCTTTACGACAATTTTAGTCATCGCAATGTAGATCATATAATTATCGCAAAATCGTCATTTACATTTACATGTAATGTCTTTAACTTTGATACATAGCTATATGTCCATATTGAGTTGGAATTTGGGTGATGATTATGATTGTATGAATAGAATGGCGAGAAAGAAGATACCGATCAAGAAGATCGACAACATAAACGCGAGGCAGGTGACATTCTCAAAGAGAAGGAAAGGTCTTTTCAAGAAGGCTCAGGAGCTGTCAACTCTTTGTGATGCTGAAATTGCTCTAATAGTCTTTTCTGCAACCAGCAAGCTCTTCGAGTACGCAAGTTCAAGGTATATATTTCCGTACAAATATCTTTTGCTTTATCTTTTTCTATGTGTGCATGTAAAAGCGAAATTACTTACAAACGTAGCTAATAGTAATTAGTGACCTTTCTCTTATTCTTATTATCTGTCTCCTTTTATTTACTTTATAGAGTGATGGATAAGTTTGACCAATTTATAATTCTGATATCTTGACAGTCTAAGCTTTTTTATATATTTTATTATAGTTTAATTAAAGCATATATTGTAGAAAAACTAAGAGAGACGAGTAACACTAAAATTGTGGGTGATCGTAGCAACTCACTGTGATTTTTATTGAATAAGAGATGGCCTTTAAATAGCCATTGTACAACGTACTGAATTAACAAGAAGATAATAAAATATCTTATCAAATCAAAACTTACCAAAAAACTATCTTATCTAATCTGAAACCAAATAACTCAAAATCAAATAATTCCAGATAACTAAATCGGATATCCCGGATATCTTGGATATCTCGAATATCTCGGATATCTCGGATATCTCTAGAAATTTAAGATTATCCAACAAAACTCCCCCATAATCTTAAATTTCTCCTTCTTCTTTCATTTCGATGCTTCTTCCACCAGAGCGCGATACTCCTCTGTGTACCATGGCCCCGCGAGCCATGCAACGTCCAGCACCCCCTGCGTCGAGGTGGCCGATGCCTCTTTTGGGACACAAAAATACCCGTTGCTCTTTGGTCCACCTTTAAACCCAGAAAGTACTTCATGATGTCCAAATCGGTCATCACAAACTCCCTCTTCACTTCTTTAAACTCCTCAACTAGCTCAGCTTTACTTCCCATCTCACTCTTCTCAATTGATCCGATCTCCTCATCCGTTGCTTTCTTCCATCTTTCATCAAGTACCACCTCTTCAGATTTTATGTCTTCTGTTCTTGTCAATAGACATACTACATGTAACTCGTCAGTGGAGTTGTAGATGTCTTGCAAGCTCCGAGTTCTAAGTTGCTCAGGTTCATCATCTTCCTCGGAATGCTCATTGGTCCTATCCGAGCTTCTCCCTATTATCTCCGAGTTCTCCCTTTCAGAGTTCGAGCTCCCCGAGGTCGTTTCCGAGTTACTCCAACTCCACTCACTTTCCTCATCTACTTGGACATCTCGGCTTACCAGAATTTTACCTGTAACAGGGTTATACAATTTGTAGGCTTTTGCCTTTTCATCATACCCGATCAAAATGTACTTCTTGCTCCTATCATCAAGCTTCGTTCTGAGCTGAGCTGGAACATGACCGTAAGCAAGGCTTCCAAAGATCTTGAAGTGACGTATACTCGGTTTTTGTCCACTCCATGCTTCTTGAGGTGTCACATCATCCAATTTTGAATGTGGGCACCTGTTCTGTATATATATAGCACACTGTACTGCCTCTGCCCAAAACTTCTCAGGCATATTCTTCCCTTTAAGCATGGTTCGGACCATTTCAAGAATAGTACGATTCTTTCTTTCAGCTACTCCATTTTGTTGTGGTGAATATGGAGCTGTGAGAAGACGCTTTATACCTTGCTCTTCACAGTATTCCATAAACTCTGCCGATGTGAATTCTCCACCTCTGTCCGACCTCAAAGCTTTAATTTGCTTGTTAGTCTCTTTCTCCACCATGACTTTAAACTTCTTAAAAGCTTCAAATGCCTTTGATTTTTCTTGCAAAAAATATACCCAGGTCTTTCGAGAGAAATCATCTATGAAAGAGATGAAATATTTCTTACCACTGAAAGATGCTGGAGAGATTGGTCCACACAAGTCAGTGTGTATCAGCCCAAGTTGCTCCTTCGCTTTGTGCTCGGACGAGCTCGGAAAACTTGTCCTTGTATGCTTTCCAAGTACACACGCTTCACAAAACTTCTTGTCAAACTCAACACCACGTAGTCCGAGTACCAACTCCTTCCTTGATAGCTCGGCCAAGCCTCCAAAGTTTAAATGCCCAAAACGAAAATGCCACATCATGGCTTCATCCTTCACGTCCAGCTTCAAGCACTTATTTTGAAGGATGTTCAGCTCCAGTTTATACATCCTATTCTTTTTCATCTCCACTCGGGCTATCAAACGATCATGCTTGTCCTTCAAATAAAGCACTCGATCCTTCATCAGAACCGAGTTTCCTTTCTCCATCATCTGCCCCATGCTTAAGATGTTATTCTTAAGCTCGGGAACGTAGTAGACATTCCTTATTTCTCCAACTCGTCCATCCTTCTGCATAAACTTGATGGTTCCACGCCCTTTTACCGCCACCTTGGAATCATCCCCAAATGACACGAATCCAGCCTTTACCTTGATGAGTTCGTTGAAGAAACTTTCTTCTCCACACATATGATTGCTCGCTCCAGTGTCCAAATACCAGATCGAGTTGTTTAGGCAACTCGAATCAAGCTCGGCTTCTGACTTCTCATTTGAGCTTGGAGGCTCAATTGTTGATCTCTCGACGCAACTCAAGTTTAGCTGGACCTCGGAGGCAGAACTCGGACGTAGCTTGGTCTCCGAGCTCTGCGTCATCATCAAAATTCCTGCTTCCTCGTCCTCTTCTTCTGTGAGAAGATTCTTCCCTTTTTCTTCACTTCGGCTTTTAGCTCGGCAATACTTTGCTATGTGACCGTATTTGCCACAGTTGTAGCAATTTGCCGATCTGCATTCCTTTGCGTAGTGGCCGAGTTTGCCACACTTATAACATTCCACCTCGGACCTCGGCTGACTTCCTTGGCTACGATCACCTCGTCCTTGTCCACCTCCATGGTCACCTCGTCCTCGACCTCGTCCTTGATCACCTCCATGATCACCTCGTCCTTTGCCTCGTCCTCCATGATCACCTCGTCCTTGTCCTCCTGATCTTCGGCCCTGAGTGTTCCGAGTTTCATTCAAATCAAGTTGCGCCTGTAATGCTTGATCAAGAGTATTCTTCATCTTCCTCCTCCTTTGTTCGTGGGCTTCGAGTGACCCAGCGAGCTCTTCCACTGAGAGAACTGACAAGTCCTTTGACTCCTCAATTACGCATGCAATACTCTCGAAATCATCTGTTAATGATCTCAAGATTTTCTCCACAATTCTACTTGCTGGCATTGGCTCCCCATTCCTTCCTAGTTGGTTAGCCACCTTCTCCACCCGAGTTATGTACTCGGATACTTGTTCCTTATCCTCCATCTTCAAACTCTCAAACTCTCCTCGGAGAGTTTGAAGTCGGATCTGTCTGACACGGTGGTTACCTCTGTGCGCAACCTCTAAGATCTTCCATGCTTCCTTTGAAGATGCAGCGTTTGCAATCTTCTCGAAACCTGACTCATCCACGGCATTGTACAAAAAATACAAAGCCGATTTGTCCTTCACTCGTGTCTTTTCCAATGTGGCAATCTGAGCCACAGATTGGTCTTCGTCCTCCTCGGGTTCTTGGAACCCCTTCTCCACTATGTCCCATAGACTTTGGGAACCCAACAGGGTCTTCATTTGTAAACACCAATTATCATAATTGGTTTTCTTTGACAGTTGTGGTACGGTCATTCCATTCACAACCTTTGCCATTACTCTCTCTTTCTTCTTTCTTCCCCCTTCACAGGCGCACACTGTTTTCCTCTCACACTCGGCACTCAGAGCATATAGCTCTGATACCAATTTGTAGAAAAACTAAGAGAGACGAGTAACACTAAAATTGTGGGTGATCGTAGCAACTCACTGGATTTTTTATTGAATAAGAGATGGCCTTTAAATAGCCATTGTACAACGTACTGAATTAACAAGAAGATAATAAAATATCTTATCAAATCAAAACTTACCAAAAAACTATCTTATCTAATCTGAAACCAAATAACTCAAAATCAAATAATTCCAGATAACTAAATCGGATATCCCGGATATCTTGGATATCTCGAATATCTCGGATATCTCGGATATCTCTAGAAATTTAAGATTATCCAACATATATATCATATGCAACAGTAACCCATATATGTCACCCTATTTTTCCTGATAACCGAGAACTGTGAGTTCATCATTTTACTCGTGTATGCATATGCTGTATTTTCGTACTGTTTTTTCATAGCTTTGACAGATAAGCATTTAATAGTTTTTATACCTAAACAATATATATATATATATATTCATGTTCTTTTACAACCCTTTTCCTTTAGCTTTTCTATGCAACTTAAGAGTGTTTTCGTTAATGTGAAGTTATTCTTGAGAGAATTAGATAGATATCTCTCATTCTCATATTCGATATAAGTTTCGAATAAAAAAATGTATACGTCAGTTATTATTGGTTCTCATGAAACTAAAGTGGCATTTTCATGTTTAGTTTGATTTTGGTAAGTGATAGCGCTGTGCTAATATTTTATAGTATTAATATAAGAAATATTTTTATATAATCTGATATTTGTTTTATCAATTAAATTTTAACCAATCGTATTCTTAATTACACTCAGAAATAATATTCCAAACCAATATATTCTGGGAAATGTAACATTTAAGAACATAATAATATACCTTGAAACCATTAATATACACTAACATGCATGCAGCTAGCTAAATAGTAAATAGTATAAGGAAAACAAAGTTGCATGATTGTGGAGAACCCGTTAAGAATAAAATTATTTTCTCCTTAACAATGACCATAAGTCAATGCTAGCTGATGTTTTATATTGAAGAGAAAAAACAAAACCATGTATAAAAAGATTTCAATTTTAAAATTTGATCATCGTTACAAGAATTTTTGACTTAGTCTGTTAACAGATAGCAATACAGCTGGCAATAAGAACTATGATCAGGAACATGATTGACATCAATGCATATTTTCTATAAAGAGAATAAAATATTGAAATATTTAAAATATTTCAAAATTAGAACACACAAAGTATTTCAAGTAATGAAATTTAAAATATTGTTACAATAATTGGTACAATTATAATCTACATCTAAATCAAAACTGTTTGAGCAATACTAATAATTTAGTCAAAAAGAAACTAAAACTGATATAAGATAAATATTACAA